CCCCAAAAAAGGCCGCCCCCCCCCGGCTCTTGCCAGCCATAACTTGTTTAAGACCATCCACAGCAAAGTCAGATGTTTCCTCATTATCCTACAGGGAAAGAGAAAGTTATGAACCTGAGAGATGATCTGTGACACGCCAAGCTAAACCCTATTTCCAGTGACAATTTACCATGTCATCGTATAACCAACACACAAGTCCTTCTACCCAAAAATGCTCTCATACCAAGCTCTTCTGTCACATCAGAGGGATTTTTCCGTATCAGGAATGGTGGCCAAACAACTTAAGCAGGTGACAACAGCAACTCCCTGGCGGAGCCAGACATAGCAATTTTTAGGCCTATGCTTTAGCCACAAGACCTTCCCTGCCGATGGCTAGCATGACTCCATGGAGGAGACAAAATAGAGCTGCCATTCCCTGGAAGGTCTGCCACTACAATCCTGCTTCTCCTCTAAGCTGATTATTCAAAACCTGTCCCACAACATCATTAACCAAGTTGTTGACTGATGTTGGGCAAAGCTCACCAGCTGCTTCAGCAAAAACGGCAGGATATCTTCAAGGGCTTGATGTCCAATTGTTGAGTGCAACTGTTCAAATGTTTTCGCTGCAGCCTCTCGGACTTCTTCCAGAGGGTCACACAGCGCTTTTCTCACTGTAGGAACTAGGGACTCGGAGAAAAGCAGGACCTAAAGATGTAGAGATGAAATTACAGAATATCTAAAGCACAACAGACACGCGCATCTCAGTAAAGCAGCTAACAACTGAAACTAAATTGCTCTTTACTTGAAATACATTGGAAAAAACCCAAGATTAATCAACACAAACATGCGCAGTGCTCTAAGGCTACCTAGTGGATGATTTCTATTATTATATCTCATAAAAGTCAGAACTGTGCAATGTTTTAAATTTATCGACAGGTACAAATGCATACATTTGCCTGAACTCCTGTGAGCCATAAGCCCTGAATTCAGTCCATAAAACAAGTCCAGCACTAGCTGTATTATTCTGTCTCAGCTGCAATACCTCCATCGTAACGTAAATATCTTACATCATAACATAACTAACTTACCGCATCCCTGCTGGTGGATTTCATTATCTCACTCAACCCAATGCAGACTCCTTGCCTCTCATCGCTCTTGTCTGACCTCAGGCCATCTTCCAGAATAGGAATGATTTCAGGAAGGATCTTCTCTCCTAATTTTCGGACAAGGTCTCCTAATGTCCGTGCTGCAACCTGTCCCAAAAATGGTATTCATTAACTATTTTCCTGTTTTATAAAACTTAAGAAGGTGAACTGTGCGCAGATGTTAACTTTTGACCGTAAACTACCGTTCACAGCACAGACAGAGTAGTAGGAATGGAAACACTACTATTATGACTAACGACAGACAGATAGTTTTACTGTCATCGCAGTTGCCTTCAGCAAAGAGAGAACTCGGACATACTCATGCTCAGAACAGTTAAATTAATGACAGCTTTGGAGTGATTTACAGTAAGGAATTATCCTGTGCTCCTCAGGGGTTGGTTTATATGGTCACCTGCAGTGACAGGAAGGCATGACTCAGTTTCTCACCGTTCGCTTATCCGCACAAGTACTGGCCAAGAATTTCAGCAGAAGCCCAAAGAGGGTTGGCAAAATTTCACGCAGCGTCCGAGGAGTGTTTGAGACTACAATCTTCCAGACGTGCAGGGAGGCTTGGCGCACCACCAGCTGGGTGTCAGAGCGGCCCATGTACAGCCCTGCCAGCACCCTGTTCCTCCTCTCCACACCGAGAGCATTAATAATAGCCTGAAAAGAAACAGAAACAAAATTGCATTATCCACTCCTGAAACTTATAAAAGGAAGAAAATACGCGATTATTCAATACGTCTTTCTAGCAGGCTTTCCATACTGATTTAAAAAAAAATAATAATAAAGGCACAACAGACAAGAAGAGCTTTACCTTGTTTGACTGGGCTGTTCCAAAGTTGTCATCCTCTGAGGCAGTTTCTGTCGTCATTTTTCCAGTGACTCCTGAGATATGGAATAGAAGATCTCCAAGGAGCTGAACTGAGCTAAACCTGGCAAGAGGAGCAAGTCAAGTGTTACAAACAGGGTATTCAGGCGGTACCCGACCAAATATGACAGCATGTCAGATACAGACGTGAGCAAAATGCGAGGCAAAGAGCTAGGTCAGCACTGAAACGCTGCACAGGCTGATATCTAAGATCAGTCTGCCTGCATGACTGAGAAGCAGCGTGCTGAAGGGAAAGGGAAGGAATGAATTCCAGACTGGAAGGGGCTGAGAGAATTCCCGTATCAAAGCCGTGAATCAGGGAATAGCCTGGACTCCTAAAAGGAACAAGACATTGCCAGTATCTGTCTCAACCCAAAAGACATTCACCCATCAGCACTCAGCTGACACAAGCCTTTTAGCACAACTAATTTTTGAGCAATCGCTATTAGCTGTGAGCGCTCCACTGCACATTTCCATACAGAGGAGAACAATAACTTACTCAGCATTTTGAATAATGAAAAACAATACATGAGGGCTAAATACCGCCACATCAGCTGCCCTGGAAGTGCTCTCCAGAGTCACCACCAGAATTAATAATCTCGTAGGAATGCTTTGCAGGTACCAGGAAACCTGAGCCACGGCTGGCAGGGCTTTGCAGACTCAGTGCTATAAGGCTTCGTATTCAAATCAACAAGCAAAAAGAGAGACTTGCTTTTGCTTCCCGGGAGGTCTCTACATTTGCTTGAGGAGCAACATAGAGTCTAAATCACACCAGTTTCCCAACCATGGAAGAGAAATGTCCGTGGATAAGACGGTTATCCCTTACCTTATCCTCCACAAGTCATCAAACAGGCCGTCCTCAAGCTGTGGCAGGAGAAGCGCGATGGCAGTCTCGGCGTACATACTTATGATTCTCTGGCCAGCGCGCAGGGCAGTGTCCCGCACAAACTCATTCTCGTCTGCCAGTGCCTGAACAGAGAGAGAAAAGCATCTGTGAAAGCTGGGGGGGGTTTCAGCACAATATACAAAACCAAGGAGGAAAACAAAACGATGTTTTCTCTCTCAACCATGAAAAGTAAATGAACTATAGAGCTGTGAATGCACAAAGGTGATTTCAAGAAATTACTAGTGACTACAAACAAAAGACAGCAAGCAAATAACTTGGAACGAAAAATAATTTATGATTTGAATTCTTTTATATTTCGTATGGTCCAGCAAAGCTGGACAAGTCTCTGCCTGTCTCACAATTACTGTAAATGATGCTTAAAATACTCTAGAGCCTTGGTTTTATCCTCTAATAAATAAAACTCTTCAGGCCTTTGCTACGTACCTTAAGGATACAAGGAATGATGGGACCAACATAGGGAGTGAACTTGTCTCCAAAGGTAATTGGCAGGTAGTTGAACATCATGATATAACCATCGCGTACGTGTGGAGCAATATCCACTTTACTGGCAGTAGCTACAATCTCTGGCATAAGTTTCTCCAGCTTTTCTACCCCCAAACCAGCCATAACTTCAGCCAGACCTGGGGAAAAAAGCAGGTAACAGGGCTGATAAACACAAGAAAGAACAAGCTAATCTGATTTAATAGGAGAAAGTCTGAACTCAGTATTCAGATGCAGCCGTCCTCACCTTGAGCGGCACCAGATCGATCCACTGAGCTCTGCTCGTATGTCAGCGTCTCCATCAGCCATGGCAACAAATCCTCAAAGCATGATTCTCCCATACCCTTCACCATGGCTCCCAGTGCCTTTGCAGACACCGTACGCACCTAACAGACAAAAGGAACGGAGATTTGCAAAATATCCCGTCAAAGTTACCAAGACAGATGTGTCAGACTGATTACAGATCTACAGAAGATCAGGACAAAGCCTAGCCTAATGCACTGAAAAAGAAACCGCATTTGTACAAAAGACTTACTTCAGGTACAGGATCCAACAGGGATGCCTTCAGTCCAGGAGTCACGCTGGGCAGGTAAGGAGCCAGATCCTGAAACAGAGAGCCCAAAGAGTAAGAACTAGATTCAAAATGAGAAAGAAATCTAAGTCACCTTCATGTAAAGGGCATTCAGCTCCTCATTATTAGCAATCATCCTTGACATCCTGAGAGTTTAATCAGGTGGTTTCACAATCCTGCTAATAAGCACGCTGAATTGTTCTGCAAGCCCAAGAACAACACCAGTTCTGCGCAGACCACTCAAAACCTTTTTGATGCTCACCCACAGCCCAGCACTTTGTATCTAGGGAAAATCCAACACTCCTAACATTTACACAAGGTTTCAAAGTAGAGATTATCAGCACAAAAATTAAACACAGATCTTTAGCCTACAGTGAGGTTCTACAAATACTTTTCAAACAAACCCTAGATCCATTTGTAAGCAGCTGATCTGTGTGTCACTGGTACTGGTTTTGCTTGTTTGTTTGTTAAGGCATTTCTTATACAGTAAAAATTACAAGACCTTTTTGCAGGGATGAATCTGGTAATAACTAGATGACCAAAGTACAAAGCTGACAGTCTTAAGCACCTGAGAATTGTCGCTGTCTTTATAGCTATTATCTGTTCCTTTACATACATTTAATTAAAGCAGCTGCGTGGATTCTAATATTGTCTACCTTAACAGCAAAATCCCCAAACCAAACGAATTCTCTCTAGTGCTTGCTCTGTTATCTCCTACACAGGAACTAGAGCACACAGTCAGAGAGCATTTTTAGCAGCGTACCTTCTGATCCGTCAGGGAGTACATGTTCCCAATGATCTGGGCAGCCATTTTCCTGGTGTCTGTGGAACGATCCTGAAAAGCTCTCTGGACAATTGGCATGATCAGTGCTAAGGATGGAGCATCAATGAAATGGACAAATTTGGTATCCAGTAGGGTCTGCAGACACTTCTGGGTCTTCCTGGAGGGGTCGGTGAGAGCATCCAGCAGAACCGGAGCAATCGCTGAACGTTTTTAAAGAGGAGAGAAAAGGCTTTATTTGTACATAAACCAAAAACACACGTCAGGGTGAGCTGGTGTTCTCTCATGGGATGTTTTAGATCCTTCTAAAGCAACTAGCAGCACAGGGAGAGAGGAAACCCCATTAACATCAGCTGACAAAACAGATACGAGCATTCAAAAAGCCTTGAAGCAGGCAGCTGCTGTTAAGCTTTCACGTTATACTTTTCTAGGAGTAGTTTCATTTCTATAGAAGTTTGGATTTAATCCTAAATGTTGTGAACATAAACCTCGCTGTTATAAACCATGGGCATGTTGAGACATTCGAGATGCAGACAGTTCTTACCCAGGATCTCTGGATTCCTGATGACAGACCCGATCTGCCTGAGAGCTTGCTGACCCGCATTCTGCACCTTCACGTGCGAATCTGTGAGCACCTCGGTAAGTTTTGGCACAATGTTGGGTAAGCAGGAAGAGAGCTGTTTGGGAGCACAGTACGCCATAGCCCCCAGCAGTTCCACCGATCCTGGGCATGAAGCACACAGAAGGAAAAAGGAAAAAAAAAAAAAAAAAAAAAAAAAAAATTCTGCACCTTCACGTGCGAATCTGTGAGCACCTCGGTAAGTTTTGGCACAATGTTGGGTAAGCAGGAAGAGAGCTGTTTGGGAGCACAGTACGCCATAGCCCCCAGCAGTTCCACCGATCCTGGGCATGAAGCACAAAAAAACAAGAAGGAAAAAAAAAAAAAAAAAAAAAAAAAAAAAGACAAAACACAAAATAATACACAGCATTAAGAAGAGATAGGAGAAGATGATCACGTTTACCTCAAACTCAAATCTACCAGTCAGAGAAAACACAGAATGCCTGAAATGCATTAAGCCACTCTGTACCACTTAAAGACACTAAAAACGTGGTGTTGGCTTGTTTGTTTTTGTACCAGGGAAAAGGAGGAGAGGAGGAAACTTCCCGTTTCTGGAGTACTTCTAGAGAGACAGGGGGTAAAAAGTGTCCCTTGAATCTACTGGGGGAAAAGAGTTGCTCAAATGTGTCAGGGAACTCATTTGCATCTCAGAAGGTCTAAGTTCCACAGTCCCCGATGAGACAATAAACTGTCACGGCCGTCTGTAGGGATGAGGGGATAAAGAAGGGGAATGACAGCGAAGGGAACTCTGGGTTACTCTCAGCCACGTCAGCCAGATATTGGTCCATACCAGCTTTGGTTCTCCAAGACTCCTCTTCTAGTGCTGCAAGAAGCGATGGCAAGACCAGCTTCACTCCATGAGTACTCAAGTTGCTCATCACGGCTTTGGCACAGTCATCTGCAGCCTCCAAGGAGAAGAGACCATTTACAAGCTGTGTCACAACGCATGTTTTCTCCTTCCTCAGAGACTCAGTGGGAACAAAGCCTTCATGTAAAATAGTGTCTAAGTACAATGATGCAGCCAACCAAGTAGCTCCCAATTAATGGCCAATGAAATAAGATGCTTTCCATTATTAAGACGATCAAATTGTATTAGCGGTATCTCAAGGGATAGATCCACCTTCTCAATTTGCCTAGTTACAAACAGTACTCATATCCATTTCATTTTGGTTTTCTCTCAACGCTCTGTTCTCAGAAATTTAAAGCATCTTACCTCTCGCACGTACTGGTTCCCATCTCCAAAACAGAGCAGCAAGTGAGGTAGCACATGAACCACATAGGGCTCAAAGAGCTTTCCAAGCATGCTGCAGAGCATCTCAAAGGCAAACAGAGCCCCTAAAGAAACAAAAAGGACAGTCAGGGGAAAATACAACTTCACTTAAAGGGGATGGAAAGAGAAGATACAATTTGCCAAATATCTGTAGAGTTCCTCCAAAAGCACTCAAACCTCACAGCTGAAAGTCTCTCGCCTTCTTGCACTTGTGGCTAGTGCTGTAGTGGGCATTTCTGGTCTCAGAAAGGACAAGAAGCCCAGCAGCATTAAAAACATGTAACAGTCCTCCGAGTCCTAGCTTAGGGGAGCAGAAATAAGGACAGGAAACATCCAGCAGCAAAAGGAACAAGTAGGCTGTGCGAGCCCCTCTGGACCAGCTGGAGCGGAATAAGTACAGCGCTCCTGCTCAGGGAGTGGGAGCCCATCTAGCAACACCTGCCTTTGAAAACAGGAGAGGGGCACGGGCAGGTTGTCTAGGACCAGAAACCCTTCCTCCGCCACAACGCAAACAGAGCAATTTTAGGACACTATACACAATCAATGGCCTCATGACAGACACTCCTCGTTTCCTCCTCTGCAAACTTTAGTAAAATAAATGTAGCTAAATCAAGCACAGGGTTCAGGTATCATTTGATCTGACCACAATGGTAGTAGATACAAGAGAAATTTGAAGTATTTGGGAGGGGAAAGCTTTTGTCCCTTACCCTCACGCCGACGGAAGTTCTTCTTGTCCTGGATAGCGTCGGTCAGCGTGGTCATCATCTCCTGCTGCTTGAGGGAGAGGATGCCAAGGCCTTTCACCAGGCCCGCCAGCCCGTAAGCTGCACCTTTGCGCTCAGCATACTTATCAGACTCTAAAAGCAGCTGCATTAGCTTCTGTATCATTCCTCCTGCATCCTCCTTAATTGCAGGCACCAGAGGTGGTAAACAGCTTGCCACTGACTCCTGAACCTGTAAAACAATTCACCAGCTATCAGATCTCAAAATACTCATCACCAACGTAACTTCCCTGTAGACTGCACCCACAAAGACAGCTTTCTGTCACCAGAGCCATTTTTCATCTCTCTGGCATGCCTAAAAGTATCGTAGTGTTAACCCGCCTCTGCGTGGAACACGAGAGCTCCTCCAGGAAGGCACCTACCTGCTGAGACGGTGTGGACAAGGCTGCTATCAGTTTGCCAACAATTGGTTTCACTTTAGGGTCACTCTTGTCCAGATGCTTTGCCAGTGAACCCATCAGAATGACCACGCTCTGCCTGACAGCATCATAACTGGCGTCATTAGGAGCATTTTTCAGGAATTCTTCAAATACTGGCAAGAGAGAGTTAACATTGTCCTGAAAAACAAAACCACAGAACCTGCCACTAGAGTCCACTCAGAATGAGATTTGCTATGCTCAGTGGACACGCTTGTTCTTCTCTGAGCCAACAAACTGAACAATCACGCTGTATTTACAGTTCGTTTAATGTGTCACATCACATAAAACCTTGTGCCATCCCAACAGGCAACAAATATTTCCTGCTAAAGAGAATTTAGCTCCTAAAAATTAGATCCCCCAAACCTGCCAGCATGATGTCCTGCCAGAAGCAACGCAAGCTACTAGGCAAGACTGCTAGCCTAAACATCAGCGCCTGCTCTTTTGCTTGCTCCATTTGCAAAGGGAGAAAGAAAGATAACACAAGCTTGACGTGGCTTTTCCAAGAAACAGAAGGAAAGAACAAATAATATGAAAATACTCCGATTGCCTTGGGCTTGACAGGAATGCAGAGGGCTGCCCAGAAGAGGTGACTGGCACGTATGAGGAAATCGGAAGCTGAGCGATTCACATTCGCATTCCGTCTAACGCTGCTGGAGAAGGGCCAGCAGTGAGAAGGATGGTCCTCAATTCTCTGAATGACTTCTGTTCCTTTCAGTTTAATTAAGCCAACGATCAGCAAGCTGTCATGTTTTGCTTTGCATGAGGCCTGAAAAGGAATTCTCACCTTCCCAGGATTAAAAGATCTGTGGTCTGATTTTACTTTTATTACTCTAGTTTTATACCATTTTAACTCCAGTTGATTCAGGGCTATTTCTTTTTTATAGCAATGACAGGGAAGAGCTACACTTAATCAACACTAGTCACTAACAGAACAACTCCAAACACACAAAAATTCCTACTACATGGAAGTTTTCAGCTGTTACACATAACAGCAACCTCTAAGAAATCAAAAAATAATTTAAAAAAAGAAAAATCTATGGGCTCCAACACAGCATCGACATTTTCATTCCATCTTTTTCCACTGCTAGAGAGAGAAACGTTCAGACTTACTTTGCCATGAGTGTTGAGCGTTGAAAGAGCGGCATCTAACATGCACTTCCTGACTTCAGGACTGCGATCGTTCAGGGCATCTGGTACAAAAAACTGAAAGAGGGGCTTCACCTGAGAACTGTCCAGATGCTGTGAGAGCTTGTTGAGGGCCAAAGCTATGCCACACCTGCAAAGATGGTGAGCTTGTGAGCTTCCTGGCTTTTCACAGAATTTGCTTGAGGCGACAATCACATTTGCTGTCAGTAGTACATTACAGAAATTGAGAGAGAGACCCATTGCAAAACCAGAGAGCTTCAGAGCGTCCAGCCTACGTGCGTTTCATTACACAACCCCATGCTGCCGGTTCCCAAAAGGACAACAATCCTTCAGCCATATAAGGACTTTTATCCCAATTAAGCGTTACAGACACTTGGGCCAACAAAGACAGACACCGGGATCACTTCATCTACTGCTGAAATCCAGCAGCTTTACAACAAGGTACATCAGCACTGAAGAACAGATTAAGCTTAAGATGGGTAGCAAACAAGATGATCTCCAATTAAACCTGTACAGGGCGTACAAGTAGACAAAAAGTAATTATCGAAACTGGAATTTCTCCAGTTCATTAAGGTTCGCACTGCCACTCTTGAAACAATCAATCAACTGCCCATACAGAGGTGGGAATACAGTAAGATAAGACAAAAATCAGTCTGAGGGGAAAGACTCTGTTCTTATCAGAAGGACATAGGGAAGATAGCATCCAGTATTTTGATGGAACTGAGAGCATTTCAGTTTGGCCTGCCCAGCCTGCCTGAGGGGCACTAATATTCTCTACCAGAAGGACGCATGAAACCAGCAAGTCAATACAACTGCATATATTTTGTTCCTTTAACATTTCCTTGTTTCTCCACTGCCTGAACTTCTAAATAAAAATCTCACACATCTCATCTGGATGCACAGGAAGCGATGAGATCGATTTGAAGATGACTATACCTTGCTTCCCACTGGTCAGGCGGTGATTCAGATATCACTCGTCCCAAAGCATCCAAAACTGGAGGTGGCCTCTGGAAGGAGAAAAAATTTCAGAATGCCTTTTCCAAGGACACGCACGGAGAGAATACTGTCAGCCATACCTGCGACGCCATTTTGTAATACTGCACAGAGGTATGACACCGCTAGCAGAAGAGAGTGGTAAAAAAACAAGCAGAGAGCTAGCTTAGGCCCAAAATGACTTAGACTGACCCTGCTCTGTCACAGTCTTCCTGTATCACCTAAGGCATATCTTCCACCTGTACAATGGTGCCATTACTGGCTGATAACTTGAGGCTCAAGACATTAAAGTCTGCGATAAGCTCAAACACAGCAACAGTAGGCTTCATGCACATCCTCAAGACAGACAAAAGGAAAAGTGATTAATAAAAAATATAAAATAAAGCACAAGCTTCTGCCTGTCAACCCCTTAGGACAAGAGTACTTACATAGAGCTTCTCCTGGTAAATCTCTGTAAGTTTATTCATGACTTCTGCTGCTTGGTTTCGATACTGAGCTACAGCTCTGGAAAGAGCTTCAGCACCCGCTTGTCGCACTGCCTCTTCGTGGTAGATGACATCTTTGATCAGCAGAGAACAGAGGTCAGGCTGCAGCTCCAGACCCATGGACTCCCACAGCCTGCAGCACACACACAGAGGTGACCGATCACCGTTCAGCAAGAGAAGCCACTGCGATATGCAATTTCAGGGGGACCTAAAGCCGCCCTCCGCCTGTGGGAGGCAAAGCCCCGGCCAGCGGAGCCCCAGGAGGCGAGAGGGAGGGAGATCCCCTTACAATCCAATCAGCCAGGAAGAACTCTTACCTCTCTGCCAACTTCTGAATCTCATCTTCCACATCAAACTTCACCACCCAAAGGCGACGCAACAGATTCAGTCCATTCTTTTCATCGCTGTCTGGGGTTGGTAGAACCATTTGTAGCTCCATCAGCCCCTGAATTAGTTTACAGGAGAATCAGTGCAAGGACCTGATTTTAGAAACAGATGCTTTAAAACACTTAAAACCTCTGCCAAGTCAAGCTCTCAGCGGTTGGAAGCGTCCAAATTCATGGTTGGTTGTGCAGTACGCGGCCCACGCAGATCAAGGACTTCCTGTTGCTGACAGGCGAGGTGGTGAAACTCAAGAACAGCGCTGCACAGGCAGGCTGCGGAGAGGCAGCGGGGCACTGGGTTGTTCTCTGGGGACTACAGTCTTCTCTGCTTCTAAGTACAGAGAAGCCAGCTCAGGTGAGCTAAGCTGAAATTTGTTTCCTGGCAAAGAAAACCAAGCGCCCTTGGTTATTTTCTTTCTTTCTTATGTTCTGAGAAGCGACTAAGCCTGAAGCTTTCCAAAAACACTGGGCCCAATGCAGACATAGGAATTTTTTGACAGCTTCTCTCTTTAAGACTAAGCTCTATGCAATTGTAAATAGAAGGTGTTAAGTTGGCATAGTTACATCTGTTTTAACAAAACAAAGGTGTGGATAGACACAGAGTACTCCTTTTTGCAAGATAAATCTAGCACAAAGAGCATTACTTGGAGTATTAGTGTTCAGTAGCTAGTGCCTCCTCCTGCAGACACACTACCCAAAGACTAGCATCACAGCGGAAGCCTTGCTTCATCAGTGTTGGAGAAGATTCACCTCCCAAACAATTAAGGAATTCAGTGTGACCCTGAACGATTCCCACCTACCCTGAGAGCTGCGTCTCGAACATTCATGCATGGAGACTGCAGGGCCTGAAGTAACACATCAATCTCCTCCTGTTCTGCATAGGCACAGCCGTCCTCCCCGCTGCTGCTTGTGCACAGGGCTGTCAGCGCGTTGGAAGCCAAAACCTAAAACGCCGTGAGGAAGTATTAGATTCCACCGCTGCCTTCTGCTGCTGTGCGTTTGGTCAGAGCAAGCGCAGGGTGGGGGCTGCGTGCTATCACAAGAGAAGAAATTCTCAAAGAACAGCGACAAAGGTTCGTGACGAAAACGAGAACTGATGAGTTCAGTCCAACCCTTTGCCTTTTTGTTATTTTTGGCCTTTCTGCCATCTCATCCCTTAGAACAAAGTTTACTGCTGGTTACTCGGGGGAGCAACTACTAAACTTCTTTGCCAGAGCAAGGCCTTAGAAAAGGAATAAAATGTCACCTGTGGAAAACTGAAGAATACGTTTGGTGCAATAAAACCCACAGGAAAGAAAAGATATAGGCATTTTATCCCAAGAATACCATAAGCACAGGAGAAAACTGGTAATGTATCAACCACCAGCCTCAGAGACTTAAACCAGGTGGGTGTATTTCCCTCAGTTAGATGTTGATGAAACTTAGGCAGAATCCGGCCTGTGGTTATGAAGCCGAGGACTCACCTGTAACCGTGGCGAACCCGTTCCTATCACCCGGGTGAGCAGAACCAGCATGTCCCTCCGGGGCAGCAGCTCTGGGCCATTCTGAAAGGTTGCAAGGAGAAAAGGCGGAGGGAGGAGAAAAAGCCTTATGTCTTGTGACTCCAAAGTTCCCTGCCTGTGTATGACACTCCTTATAAAAATCACAATCAAAACCTAGGGCCGGACAGGTAACCAAAACCTGTGACAGAAAACAACCCTAGATTGTTAACTTTAACTTGTAGAATTAATCTGCTTTGTCCAGTTTACACTGTAGCTGTTTTATCCCATGCCTCATCTGAAGAACTGTTGAAGGTCGTCTCATCCCCACAGCTCCCACTTACCTCGTCCACCAGCAAAGCCTGGCCGTTTGCTGACGATCTCAGCTGAGCATGGACCGTAAGGATCTGCAGAATCTTGACCAGAAACTCCTCCTTGTCTTCACTGTCATGAGGCGTCTCAGTCATAACAGTCTTTAGGAGAGGAAAGACTAAGGAAAACGCTGGAGCTGATAATGGTGCAGCACCTGGAAAAAGGAAAAACAGGCCTGTGAGCATAGCTGATCTTGTTTTATTTCCAAATGTTGTAACTCTAAGCATGTCTTTGTTTTACAATATCGACGGGTGTAAAATGTCCACCTTGGTAGCACATAACAGATATGGCCAGCTTCAGCCTCACGTACAAACACGCTAAGCGACCCTAAGTATTTCTATGCCCCTAGAAACACCCGGTCTAAAGGACACTGGCTCACGTGTATCTGGAGCTTCCCCACACAGACAAAGTTTAGCCCCTTCAAAGCAGCGCAGGCAGCCGGCCCCTGTGTAGCCTCCACCACTCTGCCACTTCACTTAGCGACAGCAACAGCATGGCTCCAGCCGTGACATCTGGCATTTCAGTGCTGGGTTAACAGTTGGACTTGATGATCTTAAGGGTCTTTTCCAACCTAAACGATTCTATGATTCTACCTAAGGTGGTTGTTGCTTGCTACATCAATGAGCTGGCTTTAATTAAAGTCACTTTAGGATTCCAAATTACTTCGAATGCTTCAACAGTGTGAAAATACACACTGTAAATGAAATTGCAACAATTCAATGGCTTAAAGTAGACCGACAGGCAAAACTGAGGTGTTGTCTATCCTGGAAATACTTGCGGGCAGCGGAGGACGGGACACAAAATCAAATCCATCACACAACCAAAGCTGAAATAAAATCTATTATTTAAAGCACATTAAGTTTGTGTGTACACTCTGAGAATTAAAATGAATTAAACTAAAAAAAAGTTATGGTCAATTTTACTTCTGAGCAGGAGGATCCACACAGGCATCTGATACAATTTAACTAATTCACTTTTAAAGTTCATTTGTCCCAAAGCAGGGGCCCGTTTGCAGCCACATTCCCTTTAAACACCTCCTCCAGCCTAGCTAACCTGTCATTACAGTCTTCAGCTGGATTCTTGAGAATGAGGTTCCTCTAATCCTGGTGCAAGTCTCAACGCCCCTCTCCCCCTGAAAAAATCAAAGCTTTTGGATTCTCATTGTTCAAGATTTTGCTCCTTCCTTCTCACAGGAGCTTGGCTACGGGACACAACAAATGCTCCTTCTAGTCCTCCAGTTAGTCCCGTTAAAATTCAAGTATTAGACGTCTAAGGAAAACGTTCGCTTCCTACATCCTATCTGTGCTGTCAGAGAAGGCCAGGTTTTAAATTTCTAAGATGCAGATGAAGAGCACTGCAGATGCAATACTGCAGTATTAGTCAGCTTATGTAGGGCACGGATACTGCAAAAGTAGTTCAAGGGAGACATATTAAATACCAAACACACTGCAAGCTCCTAACTACCTAACACGAGTAGCTTAGGTAAAACTCCCTCCATTTCTGAGGTGGGATTTTTCTCTCTGTTTGCTCAATAACTGTTTGCTTTTATGCTTTTTTGTTTTGCCTTTTTTTTCATTACTGGCCAGGTATTTTTAGGCTTAAGCAACTGTCCCTCTATATGCAGCAGGAGGAAGAAAGCTTTATCTGAGAAGATAAATGTTCTATTAACACAGTAGCTGGTATTGGCCAATAGGAAAAAGATCATAAACTGTATCTTGGCATTTCAGCAATGAATGATAAATGTTATCATCCACATTATAATGAGGTATGGTCACTCTTGGGTCTCACGGTAACCTAAGAAACTAACCTCTACTAAATAATATTGCAAGACTACACTCCAAAGAACTTTGAAAATGAGGAAAAATCATTTGGGAATGTAACACGACTTGTCCATCAAAGCGTTACAGAACCTACTTCTTTCCTCTTGCAGGAGAAGTGAAAAAAAAATATCAGATGTTCACTTAATTAAGCACTGTAGGAAATCTTGAAGGAGGTGGATTCTTACTTCCACTACTTTCTGGAAATAAGCCTGAAAATGGATTCCAAGGTTAATGAACTCGCGCTTACTACGGCAAACAATTCCATAGTGGAGACACTGAATTATCACGGAGACGTTCAGCACGGAAGTGGTGCTCAACATGGTCAACTGTTGCTCTCAGCCGTGAAGACGACGCGTGCCACAGTCACACAACTGTGGATCTGACTGGCAACAGACCAGTAAGAGGAGAACTGAACTGCTGGGGTAAGGGACCAAACGGAATCCTGTGTTTCCTTTAAAAAATTACAAGCCATCTGCTACAGCACACCAGATGCTTTAAGACAGGCTAAGCTGTCCCCGCCTCCGAAGGAAGCAGCCCTACCCTCCCTCTTCTGTACTAGCACCTTCAATGCGGTGGTACAAGTACTTGTGCACCCCATCGTGAAGCAGATTCTGGAAGCGATCGAGATTAAAACTAACCCAGTGAAAAAAAAAAGAAAAAAGAAAACAAAAAAGTTCAAGAAAAAAGGTTCATTTTAACCCAGATCATATTCTTGCACTGTAAAAATATTGGTGCTTGCTTTCATGTTACAGAGTAGGAAAGAACTGCTGCTTCTACAACTGTGCCAGAATAAAATATTCATGAACTGCAGCACTACACAGCAAACAAGCAGAGGCCACAGGCACTTCACTGCTGAGATCACAGATAACAAGCAATTATTTTGTCTTTCCACTTAGTCTCACGGAATCACTTATGCTAAGTGGTGTTGAAAGGTAGAAACTGTCCTTGGCAAAGCCGAGCCTTAATTTCACTACTATTATTTCTGTATGAAGCATTTTAAGAAAAAATACTGTTATTTCATTTCTACACTTACTAGACTTGTAACAGCATTTCTACTACTACCATCACAAAAGAAAACCTTAAGTTTTTTCATATCTTTGAAGCCTTATCCAATTAAAAAAAAGAAAAGAAATAGAAAAAGTGAAGTCCTACCTACGAAACATGATACAAACCATCAAAACCAAAACAGCTCACAGAGTTATCGGGAGCGGGGTGTGTCAGAGGGATCTACAGTACTTTTTACCTGGCTCTCCCTTGCCTGTCCGGCTGGGAATGGTGTGGGCATGCAGCAAGCTAACAACTCTGTTCAGAGCAGTAGGCAGCTCTTCCTGACACCAGGATTCATCTAATTCACATTCAGGTTTCATCAGGCGCAAGGTCACATGGCTCACTAAAGTACCTGGTATGGAAGAGTAAAGAATCCATGAGAAGTCCAAAACCAAAGATTTCTTGAGAGAAAAATCCCCAGGAGCACAGACCCAGGAACTATAACAAAGCTCTGGGCAAACAGCCCAGGCTGCAGAAGAGCTACAGAGAAGGAAGCCCAGCCCCGAGGCTTACGGGGCAGCTTCCCTCACACACGTACGTGTGAGTTACGTCCCCCAAACTCGGCACAGGGGAGACAATCCCACTGTGACCAAGTGCTACTGAGGGGTGGTCACAATGACCAGACAACTCCTTGTCTTTGGACCCAGTCCTATCCCGCAGGAGGATCTCTGGGACATCACAGTCACCTCCCTAAGCACTGTTCCAGGGTGGTTTTTCCTCGTGGCTGTCTGTGGTACATGGTCAAGATCCACAGCTTGTAAGAGCAAGGATTTTCACCGCTCTGCCATAAAAATAATGCACCCTGCCCTTGAAGAGCAACTGCAAATACTAACCAAAGGTTTTCAGTCGAGCAGGCATGACACAGGAAGCTAAGGAAAGAAAAGGTTCCTTAATCCTTGGGGCAGCCAAAGGCGATCGAAGAAGTGGCAAGAAGGAACCGATGAGACCAGGGATGTACTGAGTGAGACCAGGAGGCTTTCTCTTTATAACAGCGTCCAGGAGTCCTAGGGCTGTTTCCAGCTCATTATCGAGCTGTAAGAGAAACAATTCAAAAGGCTGCCATAAAAAATTCCATCGGGAAAAGATCAAGTTGTTAAATCTAATTCCTAATGAAAGAAACGAATAGGTTATTGCTAAATATTCTCTATGCTACTCCATTTTCCTTTGTCAAAATTATTTGGGTCATGGTAGCTGCAGAGCTGGCAAAAAAGACCATCAAAACTTACCTCCTTCAGCCGTTTTCTTATCTGAGACTCCCTTTCCAGCTGGGCATGCATCAGCTCCTTCTGCTTGCTAGTTAGTTGCACCTCATCCTTTATTCCTTTCTTCTTCTTTATTTCCTGCAGTAGAGAGCCAGGGACATTATTAACCAGGAGCTATTAACACCATCCCCTCAATTAGGTAGAGAAGAAAGTTGGACACATTGGGGTTTTTTGCAATTTACTTTCAAAACAGTACCAAAATATTCTTCCAAGCATATCACTCTGAAGTGAAGACACAAAATGGAAACCAGCAGGTTAACAACACTTTAGTGTCCCATCAGTTTCTCCCGTGTTTAAGCTGGTCACAAATTATTGGACATCATTAGAAAGAGCTGTCCAGCTCTTTCTACAGCGGATGGGCATGTCATCCTCCCCAGAGCAAACAGAAGTCAACCTTTAATAAAAGAATGCCCCAGTCGACCTGGTACGTTCCCTTCCTTTCACCAATTCTTCCCCCCACCTACACCCCCTGCTCTGGCTGGACCGAACTGAACTGCTGCCTGTCTACAAGATGGAAGCAAATATTTAACAACCCTTACTGAAAAAGTTACACGAGATACATTGAACAACAGATGAAGGAAAAAACAGATATTACCAACTAGTAAGTACACTCACAAACAAGCAGAATACCACATAAATTGATACAAATAAGAGAAGGTAACATTTAGGTATTCAAAGAAGTTGAGAGAATCTTTCGCAGCAGCGTACAAACATATGCCAGAAGCCACGCAACAAAACGTACGAGACAGCCTGGTGTCAGAGCCTTCACTACTGGCTTGCCTGTTCCCATCAACTCACCTCCTTCAGCTCCAGCTCAATGATTTGCTCCTTGAAGGAATAAGCTTTGTTCTCCCTCTTCATGTTAGCCTTTTTCATACTATCCTGTTGAGCACTGAGAAGGAAAAGCAGAGAAAAGAATCAGCACTGCTCTGGACTAAGATGCAGGCACAAAAATCTGGGAACTCCTGTCCGGAAAGAGCATCTGACAAACCCCTCACCCGCTGGCTCGGTGCCGGCAGCAATCAATCCCCAGGTGCACAGAGGACAAAAAAAAAATTGTCAAGTCTTACCTCTGTATTATAGATTTGTCATACAGTTCTCCCTCTGGTGTCTTCATGATGGCAAATTCCTCTCGAGTAACCTGGCACAGAGCTGGATTCTCTATTGATGCTGAGATAGTGCTGATGAGCTGCGGGAGCACTCTGCCAGGTGAAAGCAGAGAGAGAGATCCCACTGCATTCATAGATGACTATCAGGAAAACAAAGGAAAAAACCATTATTATCAGTATTCCTTGAAATTGTCTCAAAAAAGTATGCCCTGTTGAGGCAGCCCACGTTATGTTCGAATACCTAATTCCTGGTTCAGTGGGTACTTGAGTCTTATCTAGAATTCTACTCGGTTGCTGGTATACCTTCTTCCCCCCTTAAATCCCAGCTCCTTTTCACCAGAGACATTCTCTTTGAACCTGCCTTTTCCCCACCTTTCAGACAGATCTCCTTCCCTATAGACCAGTTAGCACTTAACTCCTCCAGAAAACTCTCCTGTTCCAAAGTATCTCCCAAAACTAACACAAGGAAAGCAGAAGTTTCTCACCTGGTTCTCGGGAGTGTAGGCCGTGATCCTGGGTAATATGTCATTCAGGTGTTTGGTAATGAAATCTTTGGGATCTATCTTCATCTTGACGAGGAGGGCTGGCCAAAGACCCGGCTGCACTGCCACTGGCAAGAAGAATGAATGAGCATAATAAATACGAAGCAGACTGCTAATGCAAGAAAACAAAAAGGTAAGATAAAAAACCCGTACCTTAGCCATGAGAGGGGTCTTATCCCTTCACTTACCTACAGATGGATGATGGCTCACCAGCAGCATCTCCAGTGCCAGCTTTTCTGGCTCAAAGGAATCCAGCCCTGCCACACTTGAGATGACGCAGAGTGCCTCATGGAGGACGCGGGGAGGAATGTATGTCTTTCCTAGCTCTGACAGCTCTCCCGACTCCATCACCAGGACCTCATGAGGCAGAACCTGAGGGGACAACTTGTCATTAACACATCACACCAAGCCTTCCTGAGCCCTGAGCACACTTCCCCACAGTAACACCATACCGAATACCAACAATCAGCTCCCTCTGTCAGTACTAACAACCTCAAGTTTTCACAGGAAGGAAGGGATAAAGGATAACAGCGGAACCGAAGCACAGAGGCGACAGTGACAGAAAGACTAAGAATGGAGGACTACACTAGATTTGGCAAGCCAGGGTAAAATAAAACTAAAATGATCATTTTTGGCAAAGAGGACTTAGGGAAAGGTTGAACCAGCTGGCTGGGAACAGTATGCCCAACTTCTGCAGTCTAATTTTAGCCAGTATCTTTTCAAAAATACTTTATTCAGGCTGTATCTGTGACATGGGAAGACTATTTACAAAGTCCCAGCCTTGGTATCTAATTAATGCAACTTAATCTATTATACAGCTTGACATGGCGCTGGCTTAGCAACATGCCCAATAATACAGCACTCAGTTTCCTTCTTTTAATTTTCTTTTCACTTTTGATATTAGTTGCTACTAAAGCATTTATATGACGTTTGTTTTCAATAGGCAGCCTGAGCTACAAGCCAGGGCCAAAGAACTAGGATACCAAGAAAGGAACAAAGCACTTGGTCTTCCAGCAGGGATTAATTTTGGATTAAAATAACAGAAAGACAAAGAAAACTGCAGCTTCCTCCCCAGACAATTTTGAATAATATGTCTTCTGTGTATATAGGGAAGACTAGGCACACCACAGACACTGAGACAGTAGTATGCAGTAATCTAGTAACAAGTGGCATTCTAGGCGATCATCTGGAACTGAATCATCTTTGTACCACGCCGTATGTCAGTACTAACTAAACCTAGGGTAGGGAGGTGACTGGCAGCATACAAACAACTGGCTAAGGAGAGACTAGGCACCTTGACTACTCACCTTATGAGAACTGAGAACCACTTTCAGCTCCTCCAAGAGCCCATAGGCCAGTTTGTACCCTCCCAGAGAGGACAAGAGCTTCTTAACTGTTTGATGGGCCTGTCTTCGAACATGCCAGGTCCGACTCAGCAGTACTGCAACAAGGGCACGGTGATACTGCCTGAAAACAGAGAAAGAAACATGTTTAGCAAGGGAGGCAGCTCTGCAAACCAACTGGATGAAAAGGCACAAGAAGCTCAACATTTTGTGCGAAGTCCCAAGCCCACCCTCTCCACCGCCCACATAAACAACTCGGGGGTCAGACACAGATCGGCGGCAGCAAGAGCAGTCTACGTACTGAACTTTACTTTCAGGCAGTCGCTGTGCATGATCCAAGAGAAGGCGCTCTGTCAGCTGCAGCACTGTACACATTGCTGTGGGAAAAGACAAATATTTAAAATAGCATGAGACTTCACAAGGAAACAGATTTTTTTTACCTGAAAACAAACAAACAGCAAGCGGGACACATTAAAATAGCTACCCAAACTGAGCCTCGACATAATCTTCTCAGTGAAGCCAGAGACAAACCCACCTCAGATCTGCCAAGACTGGAAACAGAACCATGATTTCATGGAAATGTTGTTACCTGGACCCCAGCAGAATTTTCCTGACCACTAAGCGTGACCTATTTTTGTCTAAGTCAACAGCGCAAACCAAACGATAAACACAATGCTCACTGCACCAACACGGTTAATTCCCGAGCACTGCCGAAATGTCTTCGGCGACAATAAAACATATTCTGAATTCATACACAAGTGCATAACGCTATGGTATTTTACCTCATACCATCCTCTGTGCGTCAACCGTCACTAGGCCCTTTGGTTTGTATGCCAACGTTCAACCATACCATAAAGCAGGAGCAGAAAGCCCCGAATCGCGGGGTGGGTTACAACCCCTATTAAGTACAGTACAGGGGACTCCCGACATTCAAGGCATCAGATAGTCTGGGGATGTAAGCATGTTAGCTGGGTGGTTTTGCTTAAATAACCAATAACAAATCATGACAATATTTACTCTCAAAATATCAGCATTAGTTTTTGGAGCTACCATCCTACGGGAGCAACATAAAATTTTCCAAATCACACTGTTTCCGGATATTTGCAGACTTGGAAGGGAAAATGTATGGATAAACCCATTGCCTCCAGTGCTTGCCACTGTTGCCACTGTTATTTCCTACTTCGAAAACTTTAACTCATCAAAGTTTTGTACAAAAGATAAATTAATTCATTTCAGAGAAATGATTCGTGAACTCATTTTCAAAACTTTCAGTTTAAAATGTAGCCAGTAATGTTTTCTGTTGGGCACATTCCTTTTTTTTTTTTTCAATTAACCTTTAAACACAAGAGAACAAAACAGAGCATAGAGACACTAATTTATAACCCAATTGATTTCCTATGTGGTATTACTCTTCCCCCACAAATCTTAGGATTTTCACCTACGTGTTTTCTTCTCCAGCCTGATTTTACTTTTTCCCATCTTCTTAATTTTAGGCTTCTCCACTTCCCTTAGATTGGCTGCAACTATTTGCTCACAAACTGGGACACCTCAGAAACACATTTTGTATTGGAAAGACTTTTACAGAATAAGCACATTTGGAAATATAAATGTTTAATAACTCAGGTTCATGAAGAAATAAATTAATTCGTCGTCAAGCTGAGACTAGAACTAGTCTAGGTGTACTTCTGAAAGAGCACGCTCTTCATTTGAATCTGAAACTGGATCCTCCGAGGATCAGAGAACAGAGCTAACAGCAACAGTAGCTCTTTTAAGTACTAAGTAATAGAGTTAAACAGCAACCGGATACACAATAACTGACAATTTACCTTCCTCTGGAGCAGACTGCAAGAACTTCTCAGATGTAAAAATTTGTTTTTTCTCATCCAGAATCAGCTGCCAGAAACCACTCAGCTTAGACTCTGACAGGAAAAGAATAGATGTCTATCAAGGATGTTTCAAAATAAGTCAGAACTCACCAGCATGCATAAAATACAGTAGAATTCTGTCTCCTGGAATCACTCAAATTATTTCTAGCTTTACTTGTCTTCAGCTATAAAGCCTCCCATCTCTCTCATTCAGAACTGTAAGCATGCCCCAAAAAGACCTGCTGAAAAAAAATACATTTCTCTGACTTACACTTGTGAAATGTAAAGTTTGTTTCACCTTAATCTTTCCTAGGGCAAGCCTTCCTAAAAATGAAGGCAAGGAGGAAAGTGGTGTGTTGCTTTTGATAGACAGAACACATCTGGATTTTATATCCTGGCAGATGTATGAATTCAGACAGTTCTTGTCATATCCTCTAACGGAAGACAGAATTCTGGGTGAACGTCTTCTGTCAGAATAAAGAGGAATACTGCCCTACGTGAATGGGAGCCGGAATTTGCAAAGCCATGGAAGAACAAGAATTCTTCATTGACATAACCGAGAGAGACGGGAATAAATCCTTCCCTGGTTTACAAAAGGGCAATGATTCTCTGTGCAGAAACAGTACCCAGATTAAGGAATAGTATCTCACGCACATTGCCAAGAAAAAGTGTTAACCCTCCAAACCTGTTTATATTGGATTCTACGAGCTGGTTTGTGACCTTACCAGTTTGTCCCTCAATTACAGACATCCTGCAGATCAACAAAGCTGCAGCAACTCCTTCAGTTACCACGGGAACCTGAGTGCTTTGAGATGCCGCTTTTTCCACTGTCTGGATCAGCATTGGCAGCAAGTCCATTCCCTGCAATAACGTGTCACCTGAGGAGGCAGAGGCGAGTTACAGAACAACCAGGTCCTTCACACTTTACACCACAAGGGTGTCAATGGTTCTTCTGTTGTCATGAGACAAGGAAAGGAACCAGACACATACTGGGAAGACTCTGAATCTCCCAGAGTATTTGCCAATCGCTACTATCGTTAAACTTTATGAAAAGCTAGATGATAACCACTTTAGTCCTTTCCTCACAGATAAAACAGTCACATCTCAATACAAGTTTCTGTTCGTGGCACGCAAAAGAAAATGCTAATTCAGTTACATTAAAGGAATTGGTTCAAATCACAGGAAGCCTGACTTCAAAGATTATGTTTCCCCGAGAGAGGGAAAGTAAATTCCTGGCAAGCCACAACCATCTGTTCCACTTCAAACGTTCACAAGTCAAGGAACCCCACTGCTCTGCGGAAGCTAGGTGTTCCTGGTACTTCCAGAAGCAACACCTCACACGCAACAGACCTTGTGATTTTCTACATTAAGTATTCGCAGGCAGTGTTTTAACCATAAACTCCTGAGAGTCAGAACCTCTCTTTTCTTTATGCCCCAGTTGGATGCGTCACTGGGTGGCTCAAAGCAATGGTAGCACCAGGGGTGAGTAAATCATTTTGGAATACGAATTATCTTGAGCCCTGATCCCTCGGACAGTTGCACACATCACACACAAGTAATCCCCCTTGCCCACGGCAAGCGCGAGCAACTTCAAGTTTGCCATATTGATGTCTCTGAAAGGACCACCGTCCTGTGATATCTAAGCAGTTTTTAGAGTGATTTTTTTTTTCAGCCCTGTGATAGCACAGAAATTCCTAGCAGCTACAATAGAAAAATGCAGAATTACAATTTCACTCGTATCAATATTGAGGAAATGATGGCAAATCCATTGTATCTATACAATACATTGAGTTATTCATCTCTTAAGCATATGTAGACCATCTTTTTGATTCACACCGCATCAACAACAAAGGGAGATCTCACATACAGGCATCAGACTGATCGCCTGTTGACCTACGGATGAAATGCTGAAGTCAAAGGGGATAGGACCAACAGAAGCAAATCTCAAAAGGATCAGCAAAAACTTTGAATTTCTGAACATCTTCATTTCAAACACATTAATTTTTTTGTATTTTTTTAAAGCTTCTGAGAGCCAAAGCCACAGACTAGCAGGCCAGTGGGCTGGGTGCTATATAAACAAAAGCATGGTCCCTGAGCTAGAAGCCTTACAATCTAAGCATAAGACAAAAATAAAGCAATCAAAAATTACTCTGGGGCCTATGAAAAGACAGCACCATGGGCACTGATGCTAGTTATACAAGGAGACAAACCATCTTTATAAACTTGAAGGGAAAAAAAAGATTAAGAAGAAATATGAAGGACGTCACTGAACAGATGTTGCCTTATAAAATCTTTCTTAATCCCCGCAGCTACCTACTTACATCAGGAAGTACAAAAGTTGACCACTCTTCTCTTAAGCCACACGGTCAAGAGAGTTATTAAGAGCTGCACAATTTTACCTTTGAAAGAGGCTAGCACGCACTGCAGGTAGGCATGTCTCACAGCTGAAGTAGAGGTTTTAAGGCTGAAGGCTTTCTTTAGCCATTCCACCAGCTTCTTAGGAACTTCTGTGGTGAACCGAACGCACCAAAGAGCCAGGACAGAGACTGCATGAACCAACGTGCCTTCATGGACTAGGAAGTAACACAGAGCTCACATCAGTAGAGCAATTGCATAAACCACAGGAAGAGAAAACAGAAAGTGGGTAAGAACATCAGGAGGAGGCAGGAAAAGACTGCATGTGCTTCTAAGAGACGCAGCACTGTCTCCATGGGGCTGCTCAGCAAAACAGGGCGAGGGATTTTATAACACAACAGGCAGAATCTGGATTTGTCCTGCATAACAGGCCATATGAAAGCCCTGCTCAAGACGAAAGCAGCTTAGCAAACCCAGAACAAAGGCAAGAGGTCTCACCTTCTTGTTGCAGGAAAGGGATGAAAAGCTCAGCCACGGTGCCAGTCAGAGCTTGGCTAGAGGATCCAGAAACCGCGTGGTGGCTAAGGCTGCCAATCCCTGAGAGGACAGAATTCTCTCGTTAGTTCCCAAACTACCAGCACTTGCTGCACAATCTAAAAATAATCAAGAATGACCCTTCCCATTCCAATCCTTGCACAGACATCTCTCTCGTCACTACGTCTGGATGTCACATCCACCAGGTACCAACACTGCAGGACCTCTGTCTTCATTTTTACTCAGGATACAGTCAGCATCTTCCTTGCATAAAACATTTTAGCCTACCAGCCAATTATTTCCTTTGAAGAGAAAGTCAAGAACTGGCATGTGGTATCCAGCACCCGCTACGACATGAACCACAGCCAATTTGGAATGACAGGCAGGGAATCCTAAAGGTTTAAGTACAGATCCCTTTCGTTCAGCCTTCTGCTGAATTTCCCCCACCAAAGAAGCAGCTTTCTTCTGGGATCCTCACCTGAAAGGACACTCATCTTCTGAGCAACAACTGTCAGCTTCCCTTCCGAGCCTGCCAACAAGAAACAAACGGGTGACGGCTGACTTACAGACAGACAACAGCTATGTGCTACATCAGGAATCTTCTCTAAAAATACAAAAGCTTGCCCCGTTACCCCTGATGCAGGTTGAGCCACCCCTGCCATACAGGCAGCTAAAGACAACAGAAAATACAATACCCAAAACTCCTTGAAACTGGCAAACTTTTATTCACCCCCACTGCTTATCCTACAATTTACTCACCCCCCAAGATGGCAAAAAGGTGTCTGCCCAGCGACTCCACAGCCGAAGGATCGCTACACTGTCGAGCCAAGTTCTTTAATGCCACAACTGCTTCATCCATGAGCTGCACACTGTTGGATTTCAGATGACCTACAAAATGATGCACAAGCTAAGAGCTCCTGACGACAAACTGCATAAAATCAGCAAGACAAGGACGTATCTTTACACGTGGTTTGACTCGGCTTCCGGAACCGTCATGTGAATTATTCCAGTTCCAAGTTACAGCATCAACCTCCCTCCCACATAAAACAACCTCTTCACCAGTAATCAAGCTGCTAGAGGTTCAGCCAGAAAGCTGAAGAAAGCTTTATTCTGAATTCATCATTCCCTCCAGAAGTGAGAGTACTTACTGGCCAGTCCTTTCACAATGTCTAGAGCATACTGGCTGAGATCCAGGTTCACAGCTACGAGCAAGCAAGAGATTGCTGAAGACAGAAGAGAGAATGGCATATTACGTTTTGTTAAGTAACTGGTTTAAGCATTTTAATACACCCTTCCCCACAGTTCACATCAAGAGCAGACAGGGTCAGTAAGGAGAAGAAAGAAAAAACCGTGAAACTGATGCCCAGTGAACAGATTAATTCAGGATTATTCTTAGCACTCAGCTGTGAAATTCTGTCCTCTGTGCAAACAGTAGCTATCACATACCCAGACACTTGGGATCACACCACAAATGTTGCTTCTCCACATCCAGTCCTTAGATGCCAGACAATCCTGCCACCTGCACTCCAACAGCATAGCCCAGAGATACACACTCCCCCCCAACTCCAGACCTCTAAGGAACAACTGTTCGTGCTCTTTGACTGAGCCATGCAGAGAGATGACAGACTCACTTTCAATTACGTTCTCAGGACTCCGTAGGAGGGATTTCTGCAGAGTTGGCAAAACTAAGTCCTTGAATTCAGCGTGAGACATGTACCGAAGAAGCGGGGAGCAGCTGTCCTGCAAAGGGAACAACGCGCTCAGCACAGCAGTGGACGTTGCACATAGGACAAAAGCACAAACAGCTCTGTAACAATATATCTCACCAGCACGTGCTTCTGAGGCTTTGTCTTGCTCATAAGGATGGTCTTCAAGTAGAAATCCAGAAGAGCACTCTGAACAAGCAGAAACACCAAATTACAGCCACATCGCAACCTATACGCAGCTCCCCACACACCCTGAGGAAGCCAGGCCTGACACCCCACCTCACTCTCCTCCGGAAGGCAGCCCTGTCCACTCAGCAGAAGCTTTGCTTTCATCCTCACACAGAGCAGTCAAGCCGAGATCAGCGCCCTCTGCTCGACCCCGACCCTTCAGCCCAACACTCAAAACACACTGAAAGCTAAGTGCTGCCTTCCATTCCTGCAACGGGGGGGAAGGCGGAAAGCTGCAGCGTTGGCCATCTACATAATGCACAGGCCACAGCAAAATCCCATACATCTGGCACCACCTCTGTGTATCCATCCCGGCTGGTTTAGTCAGACGTGCACGACTACTGAATTGACAGATAACGAAACCAGGGGCAGAAGCAAAGTACCAGCCTCACTGAGACACCTGTTCAGCCCCCGTCTCCATGATGAGAAGTGACCCTACTTATTAAAAAAAAAAAAAAAAAAAAAACAAAAAAAAAGAAGGCAGTACGATAGATTTACCTTGTATCGTTTAACGATATCAATCTCTTTCTGGGCTGTGCAAAACTGCACCACGAGTCCCAGCATTGCAGCGTACCTCTGGTTTGGTTCAAGAGCAAGAATGACGGATAGGTACTGATCCACCAGATCTTGGTTCTGAAAAGAAAAAGAGCAAGGCACGTTAACACAACAGAACGGAGAAGAGCTACTGAACACGGTCAGTAAGGCATACATCACCTCCTTCCACAGCCTGTTCAGTTTCTTCACGGCCCCATCCACCGCCTGCTTATGAGAACCTCCCAGGACTTCCAAAAGGAGCAAGCACTGAACCTCCACCTGCCAAGGGAAACAGCCAAGAAAACCTTCATGCACCTGCTTCTCAGAGAGCTCAGGTCAAACAAGACGTGTCAGATGCCAGTGATTAGCTCAATCTGCTGAGAAAAAAAGTCCTTAGGTCGTGTAAGTTCTTCCAACAAGCTGCCACGGCTTTCATCCCACACGCACCACTTTGCAGAACCATGCGTAACAGTTTTGGAAACTCTAACTTTGAAAACAGCAATTTATATCAGATTACATCTCTTCTTAAAACGTGTTTCAACTATATTCCAAGGTGCTGTGAGCACGGTCGCAGGTTCAGGTTGTTGAAGTAAGTGAAAAGAAAGGAAAAAGCTACTTGACACTGTATGACAGAGTATCACAGGCAAGTGCTTCAAGGGAGGCACAAGGAATTCGTGCTGCAGGCTGCACCTTGGAGGCACCACTAGCACACCCCGTCTAGAAACACTGGTACACACCAGAGCATGCAGAGCAACTCTGCACGGGTCCAAAACTGCCCCGCTCCCGTGCTTCATACACCTCCTGCTTTCTCCAGAGGAACAGAGAGATCAAAATACACTGGAAAGCAAGAGGGATTGTCATGTAAACCTGGATTTTAACATCACGTTATCAGTTACGTTCAGAATTACTTGCAATGTTTCAGCAACCTAAAAGGCATTAGCAACATTTAAGTCCGTATCTCCGAAGGGATATTTCTGCAAACCAAAAAGAACCTACCAGTTTTTTCCATGTTTCTCCCTGTCTCTTGTCAGGTGTCGGGAAGACTGTGCGTACCAGCAGGCACGTCCAGGAGAGCGCCAGCAGAGCTGCAGATCCACTGCTCTTACTGGTGTACAAAGGGGAGAAAGAGGTAAATCTACAGCTCCCAGTACGTAACTTACACCTACCGGTCCATAACAGACTCATCTTTGCCCAAGTCAGACCAACACCTTGTAAGTGAGGCAATTTTATCACAGAAAAACACAGCTGAAGTCTTCGCGCTTAAAGGAAATAATTACTCCTCATAAGCTATGTGTTCCAGCTCCTGTTTAACACTTAGAACTGCTGAATGGCACAAAAGAGGCTAAATCTTGCCTGCTGGGACTGAAAAACCTTAGCAGAAGAAAGATAATTTTTGAATCTTCTTAGTGCCATTAGAGAAATGAGAGTTAAATACTTTGCCAACTGAGAGTGCCCAAAAAGCGACTCAAGATTTCTCATCTGCTGCTGATCTTTACTGTCAGAGCTTCCCAGCCTCAGACTGCCAAATCGTTTCTCAGCTTACACTCCCTCCTGGCACACTGCTCAGCTCTGGTTTCTGCTAACGCTCACCTCCTCCCTCCACTTCAGGTAACGGATCCCACCCCGCAGTTCCCTGAGGATCCTCACTCCATTTTGATCTCTCCCTTAACGTGAAAGAACGTAGAAAGTGTCCTCGCACGCAAGGCCAGCCACTGCGACTGAAGGGTGAATATCGTAGCACTGCAAGCCTTTAAACCAAGATCAGGTATTTTTCTAAAGGCTACGCTGCTCTTCAGCCACGGAGCACTGCAGGACGGCACCCTGCGGCCTGCATCAGCTGAGCAATACCTTAAGTCACCTTTTGGAACCACGAGAGCTCCCACACGCTACCACAATAGAAGAGCCGTGTGTTTCTCAGCTCAGCTCCCAATGTCATTATCTCCCTCTCTATAATAAGGTCTTGAATTCACCAGCTGAACACCAGATGGGCGAGGAAATCCCTTTTCCTAATCCTTTTGGAGACTGTTTCTTGATAAAAGAGTTTGTTCCTCATCCCTCCAGACCTGAAGGTTAATAAAGGCAAAACCGTAACTCAGACCCAATCCACCAGCAGGAACACCAAGAAAGTCCTGCTTTCCCCGAAGACGTGAAAGAGGTAAGAGAGGAACATTGGAACGGTCATTAACAGCTTTGTCTCTAAATGTTTTTAACACTTCTGGCAAGCAGCAGCAGCAGAATCATTCTGAACACAAGAGCAACCACCAGCAAGGCAGAACTGCTTCCACACAAAGCAACTTATCCAGCACCTGGGAACTCCAGCCTTGCCGCCGATCCCTGAAGACTGAAGTGACTGCAGAAGGTTTTTTGCTGTTGCATCCGGCTGGGATTCTGCGAGCTGCTGAAGCGCCAGCTGCAGGGCTCTGCGGGATGCTGCATCGCTAGAACGAAAAACAGATCTCCATGAACATTATAAATCCTGCCAACGTTACATATCACTACACTTGCATCACACAAAGGGCTCTGCTTTCTCATTCCAGCAGGTGAGCTAACAGTTATTTTAGCCTTGCTCTTCCAAGAAGAGGAGAAGTTTCTGGCAAAAAGTTCCGTTCCCTTCTTCGGCCGACAGAGTTACGTCGAGGCTCTCCGGCAGGTTGCAGAAGGAAACACAGGTTCTGAACAGCTTCTCTACAACAGGCCACGATTCCATCCAATCTAAAAGTGTCTAAAAGATGTCCCAAAGACACCTTATTCTTGCTTCGCAAGGACACAGGCATTCAGTCTTGCAGACTGAACCACGGGATGCAAGTTTTAACTTCAAAGTCAAAAGTGAAACACAAGGTAAGCGTTGTAAAACTTTTGAACGTCAAACGTAGCTTGAGAGCCTAATTATAAACGGCATCTTTCAGTGTCATAAGCCCCTACGTGACACCGCGTGCTAACATTTCCAGATGCTCCATACCAGTTTAACTAATAAATACACAAATACCCATAGATTAAATGATACGGCCTTTCTACATCCATTTACTCACCGGTATCGATGCAGAGTAAGGCAGAAGAGTTTGCAAAGGCCTTTCACTGCACCCTCTGGAAGATCTGCAACAGATTGTGTTTCAAAATATTTCTTCATAAATCACTGAGCTCTTAATCTTTAACACTTCACAACTGAAATCAGTGAACTGCTCACAGCCCCTGTACGTCTCTGAAATTGTTTGCAAGGGTCAGAGTTCTCTCTCGTTATACATTTTATGCATATTTTTAAAAATAACGGCAAAATTGGAACGCATGCTCAGCCATCTTCAGAAAATGAGAGAAATCAAAGATTTCTTTAATTTTGTTTCAACTGTTTTATTGAGACTATCTAAAATCTTCTGTTCTCTCCCTCTCTCTACATCCATACGTACTACTAACTGGAAAAGCACACACGCCAGTAACTGGAGCTCTGTCTCACCTACAAACCCCGTGCTTAGAATTAACGCTGTGAGAAAGCACAGACTCCAAATGCTGCCAGCCCCCTGCTTCGACAAACTACCCACAAGTTTCACGCAGCCTTTGAAACAAAATATTTTAATGTTCTTCTCCAGCCTGGTAACCAGAACAGTGCCCCAAAGCTTTTACCTTTCCCAGCAATGCATTTTCCCAGCTCACTGAGGATCTCTCTCCGCTCCTTCACGCTGGCGGTGGTTACTTTTACCGCAAACCGCTTCAGTGTATCAGAAATCTAAAATCACACGCAGAGAGGAAAAAACATCAGACTGCCTTCGATATCAAAAGAGAGAACACAGAACCGGGGCAAGCAAACCATGTCATCTGCCGCCACACGACCTCTTAGTGACCAAACGTGAGCACCCACGGTCTTATCTGCCGGGGAAGGGCCGCCGTACTGCAGGGACACGGTGACACTCAGAAACCTCCCCCTTCGGCTGAAGGGTGGCTGCTTTCGCTTTGTTAACCTGCGGCCCTGTCGCGGCACCCACGCTCTCTAAGACACGTTTACTCCTCTAAAAGCAGGACAGAGGGAGAGGTAAGATCAATGGCTTAGAGCAAAGGACCTTTAAAAGCACCAAAAAAAAAGGTACTTCAAGAGCACAAAGGTGCTTTTCAGTGTTTCAGGTTATTTTTTTCTCCTAAAGCCCACGCACCCCCAAAGGGGAACTCCTAACTGCCGACGACCCAGGGCTGACTGTAACTGCCCGTCCTGAAAAACCGATCCGTGGTTTCAGGCTGTCCATAGCTGTGAAATTCTGTACACGGGCCCAGCAAAAGAACGAACCGCTTGCCTTTAGGCTGTTCCAGAACTAACACGCACGTCGCAGGGATTTTGTAAATCGGCCTCGCCAGATTACAAAAGGTTGCGCCTCGCTATCGGACTCCTTCCACGCGCTATCAGTAGCGCCCAAGGTTACCCGGGCAAAACGAAAAACTGCATCACGCAACTGCATGGTTTTTTCCATGCCTGCGCTACCGCGTGCCGGGATCTGCCAGCGGGAAGGGACCGAGACGGCTCGCCAAGTTTAACTCCTCCAAACAGCTTGTTTCAGTTTTCAAGTGGTATCGAGAGGGCGAGATACGCTGTCTGAAAAGACTAGAAAGAAGTTTACGGTCTCAGCAATCAGCTCCTTGAACTACTGAAGCCACTTCCGTGAACTTCCAAGTTTTGCAAGATAGGCACGATGATAAAAGACTTCGCGTGGGCTGAACAGGGCTCAGCCAGGTCTACGCTCACAGGTTTTCTGCGTTTACATACACCAAAACACAGCTCTCCAGGAAAGGCTTTTAAAATTCAGCTCTTAAACGGAGCAACTTTATATCTTAATAATCATCGTCACCATCTTTAGGAGGAGCAACAAATAAGCATTTAGAAACTCATCAAAACTGTTCCTTCCCTCTTCAGGCAAAGCTCCACCAGTTTTGCCACAACAGGTTTTTCTCTAAGCACAGGAGACCTGGCAAGAGCTGCTTTCAGCGAAGCGTTTTCGCTGACGGCGGGAGGGGTACCCCTGCGCAGCGGCTACCCGGGCTTCAGAGGGGCCGCCCGCGCCTCCCCGGCCCCGTGACCACCTCACACCCGAGCTCCCCAGCGTCGTTACCACCTGAGCTGACAGAAGAAGCCGCCATTAAAGGGCTCCTCTTCCTTCAGACCTTTCAATTATGTGAGTTCATCGTATGCAAACTCAAACCAAGCTGCACTTACTCATGCTGCTTAATCACAAGCAGGGAGATGTACAGACACGAAAAACACAGTCAGATTATCCCGACACTCTAGAAATTAAAACTATAAATCACGTATAACACCACAGGACTTCCCAAGCAGCTTAGTGCACAAGCTACGACTCCCCAGTCTCCATGGCAGAGCTGCTGGGACGGGCTTCACGCTTTCGCTTTTTCTTTTTATTAGGAAGCACGCACGTTACAAAGCCAGAGCGCGAGCAACGCTGCTGCAGACAAACACAGAGAACAACCACAGTGTCGGCAGCAGTAAGGAGCTGATGCTGAGACGGCCGGGATTTGCCTTGGGAACATCCCAACCTAGCGCACGGCGGAGGGAAAAGCCCGTCGGGGCGTCACGGGCGGTCCCCGGCAGCCCGGGCGCGGTGGCACCCCGGCGGCCCCGCTCAGCAGCCCGGAGCGGGGACAGCGCTCGGCTTCTCCCGGCCGAACGCTGCTCCCGGCGGCCGCGGAGACGGCGGGGGGGGGCGGCACCCCCCCGGGGCGGCGCGCGGCCGG